TTTTACGACTATCCTAGTCCCCAACCTATCAGTTGCCTTCATTGAAGTCGTTCATATCTTCTTCTCTAGACTTTAATACGCCTTTTTTTGTTTATTGTCGACGTATATTCTAAAAGAGGTAGAACAATATAGGTATCAAAACGACCATCAGTTGGATCTTGATTTTGAAAAAGAAATAATCATCACGGTGTTAAAGCATATTCGGGAGCATCACTTTTTGGTTTACAACTATGTAGTAGCTTTAAGATACCTTCAATCACAAAAAAGGACTCAAATAGAAAAATACACCATTTTTTTTTTGCGGATCTTTCCACGAGTGTTGCTCTATATATACGGACATAGTTTATGTTTGACTAAAAGCTGATTAAGATGTATAGTTTCCACTTTGAACTCGAAAGTGGTGTAGGGCAAATGCAAGATAAATTGCTGAAGAATACAAGACGTGGGGTACACTCATTTTCCTACTGGTGCAGACCAAACTATTTACCTCTTGTTCCACAAGGAGGAGGAATGCAGTAGTATTTAGCTGATCATGAAACTCACATATCCACCGGCAAGTTTGAACTGTTTAGTCAAATGTGTATTGAGCTCTATTTCAGTTAAGTTCAAGGTCAAGAGAAAAATGATCACTGATTTCTATAAGCGAAACTAATGAAAGAGGGTTGCAGCATGCACACGTAAGTAAATGTTGAACGATGACTGAACGTTCGAATAAAACCATAAAAACGGATATTCACCGATGAAAATATTCACAGTACTTCTCTATCTCCAGAAGATGAGGGAATCAACCTCGAACTATCGAAATATTGCTTAAAGCTTGAGAATAAAAAACAAACCAAAACAAAATAATAGGAAGCTTCACAGTTTATTGCTCAGCATGTGAAAATCGGCCATACCCGCCTTGATTTATATAAGTTGGTGAATTATTTTCACCTTATATGTTTATAATATTGTATAAAGTTTGTATAAAGTTGAAGACGCAGAGATGCCATCAAGATTCAAATAGCAGAACGGCCCAAAGTCTAATCTGCAACCCTTGACGATAGGTTACTTTTGAATCTGAGCATGATAGTTTGATGAGCGAGTAATATACAAATTCAACACCCGTAGCTTGCTTGCTTCATCTTAAAAGTGCAAAACACTTCATATACTGAATAAATTCCAGTACAAACCAACTAAATTGATTCGGCCCAAAGACACGTCGGAGATACCGGAAATTCTATCTGCGTATATCAGTAGTCATGTGCATTCTGTCCTGTACTAAGGGTCCGTACTCGGACGCCGCTGAGCCTATGACTGGCGTTTTGAATCGTCCCACAACGAGTGCAACTATAGCCACAGAGCCGCCAAGGGCAAGGCAGATGAAAGGTATGGAATACGCGACATGTGTGTGGAGCATGTGCGAGTTGTAAGAATTCCATCCAGCTATATATCTTGCATCGGAAATCTGTTTGGGCTCAGGGTTGGCAATAGTCGTATATGCGGTTTCTTCTTCGTTCGTATCCCTCGATACTTCTGAGATGGCAATGTAAAACAAACTCATCACCTGCAAGGCAAGATGATTCAAATAAGTACACATTTTTTTGATGCCTTAATCATAGCATAAGCAGAAGTGTGTAAATGCAACAGCATTAATACACTTGAATTGAGTACATGCATGAAAAAATCCAGAATACAAGAAGCAGGCGCATATAAAATCAAGGACAAATACAATAGAAGTCTTTAAAAAGTCGAACACTTTTTGGCGATACAAATCATCGGGTTGGCGAAATATGCCATAGACTGCCCAGCTTACCCCTCTATGTCCTACTGTCGAGTCGTACATCGCAGTGATTTTGACCATATCCCTGGCTTTTCTGCGCAGCGGGGGATCGAAGCTGCAAGTGCTCATGGCCACCACATAATCTTTCTCATCTCCGACTATCTCACTTTGTCCATATTTAGGGACAGACGCGCAGATGATGTTGTCCGTGTCGCGGTCGTACATACTAATACCAAGACCGCCCCTGCAAATGACAATAGTTAGTGTGAGACTTGGAAACATGGAAGGCTTTCCTTGGCTGATGCGGAAAGCACATATATCTGCCTACGGGTTTGTAATGAGATAAAAAAAATATACAAACAAGTAAAATTACAGGCACAGACACCATTCATGCACTTGTTTTGACATTTAATTATATAAAAATGGGTGAAATGCATATAAATATGTATGAACTATCGGCATCGAAAACATGCATATATATGTATGTCCATTTATGCACACGTATTTAAGTACATAAAAATGGATGAAAGACATATACATATGTACTAAAGATGACGGAAATGTGTACATATATACAACTTCAGATCACTTTTCGTTCACATATTTGTTAATATATACATATATTATGCAATATCTTATGTATTTGTACATAAAACAGAATATATATGAACGCATCCATATATATATATAAGAGTGTAAACATCCAGAGGTAGCGTTTGACAACGTATTTGGCATGTTCCTGACAGATCAGTGAATGAAATAAACCCACATAGTTGCTCATTAATTGTCCTCAGATAATATCAGCGTAATACCAACAACAAACCTGTGCTGATGACCAACCATGAATACTATATCCACTTCCTGGTCAGGATCGACGTCTTCATGCCATCTAAACGCACCAAATACCGAGCTTCCGTTCATATTCAGATACTGAACCGTGCTGAGTGTGTGCACACACGTGCCCTCGGCTTGCTCTTGTGCGCTGCACTTCTGAATGTCGTACTCGATATTGCCAACACTTTGAAGGTCACCGGTTGCATCACAGCAGCCTGTGAAAGTATATGGATGGCATGTTCAATCAAGGAAGCAATGGAGTGCAAAATTGAGAGCCTGCGACTGTCGCGAGCAGACCCTGATGTTAGACCTTCAGGCGTCAGATAGCGTGTGCATGGAGAGGGTCGATCGATGGTACGTGAAGTAGGTGGGAATGAAATAGTCCACCAAGAGTGGTTGCGGCAACTCGAGTCCGATTGCAGACCAATCGCCGCATACACATACTACGCCCGTCCACACGTACACACATACGCACGGTATAATTGTATGCGATGCACCACTTACCTGCCAACAACAGGGGCTTAATCTCGTCCGTAACTTCCGAGTACTGGATTTCGTATCGAAGATAATATACTGCCGAGTACTTTTCCGGCTCCAACTCCTCTGGCTCAAAGCAGAAGAGACCATTCTCACAGCATCGAAGGCCGCCAGTGTACTCCTCCCGGAAGCATGCGCCGTTATCCTCGGCTAAAAGCTGTGAGGATTGTTTGTGCGTACGAGTGTGAGAAACTTGTATTAAGGCACATTGAATGCCTAAGCATGGAACTGGTCTAATAGGTAAATTTAGATAACACGACAGAAAGAGAAAGCTCACCACCAGATTAGACGCACATGCGGAAACATCTGGCCGAGATAAGTACTTCAATTGCACACTCTCGCTCAGCAATGAATATATGCTTATAGATTCACACAAAAGGTGTGAGGGGTAGCTTAATCATAGCACATGGATCGAGAGAATGTATTCTGTGTAACAGAGTAGTATCAAATCAAACACGTCGCTCAATTATCTATGGACCCAGAAAACATAGCGAACAGTCCAGCACACCTGCTTATTACATCCAAATGGACCCGTCGTCGCATTGCCAGCCTCTGGTCTGCGGAAGTCGTTTTCTTCCGTACAAGGACACTCCAGACACTTGTGAGCCTAAAGTGGAGATGAAAATAGAATTTCAGGTCTTCGATGCGTGCGTGAGTCTAAATGTGCAAAGAAGCATGGATTTGTTTTCGTATATATGCTACCTGACAAATGAAATTGGATTGGAAGATAGTTGACTTCAAGCTTTCGTACAGATCCAGAAAGACATAAATCAAGGAGCTGGTACACTATAAAACAGGTTTGATGCAAATTGTAGACCATCGCAAGAACATAAATAATACAACCGCAGAATCATACTCCCATATTTATAAAAGTATTCTAGCACACAAACAACTCAAGCGCAGTGCATACTTACGTAGTCTGATATATACAATTGGTACTCCGCCATCCATACTTCTATTGTAGTTGGTAAGAACGCTTGCTAACCAATATGGCCGGTTCCCTTATACTTCGGCCACGACCATGTTAACCAGAAAAGCCGATGCGCGGACAACGTCTACTAACAAATACTCGCACATGAGTATAGTACATACAAATTTACATTTAAATACTCAATGACCCTATGAACTGGCACATATGTGATGATATACCATTAGACGCCCCATACCCTGTCACCCAGGCCTCTGGTATTAATTATGTGCACGTTTGCAGCCCACTTGTTCTCTCCCTTCTCAGTTACAAACGCGTATGGATACTCGAACGCTTGCATGGTTTTGCGTGATTCGGTCCCTGCGCCAAATCCGACAGCTCTATGTAACTCCTTGGGTTTCATTGGGCTGTAGTTTGTACTTCCGTCTGTGTATGTACATTAGAGGAACAGTACGTACATTAGAGGAACATGGTGATCACACAAGACAAAGGTGCAACTGAACTTTATCTCAATGCCACAGGCGAAACTTCAGACATATGCTCATGCGCGCACATTGACGTGTACATCCGCAAAAACACACACATGCATATATAGCTACATGGACACGTACTTCGCACGTATGACTAATTGTATACTAATCAATCGAGCTGCCCAATGCTAATATGTTCATCTCGTTGTTGCGAACATGTAAGTATGCCAAATATGGCCTAAATACTATGGAAGAAGCATGCACGTGCACGTTTAATGAACAAAACTACTTAACTACTACGTCTGTTAAAGTAATGTATTGAGAAATTCCTACCACATACAGATCAATACACACGTTTCCGCTTCGAAACGTGCGCGAACACAAGTCAAATAAAATCTATCAGGTCCGCCACCATATGTCTGCACGCGGTAGCGCCTATACACACTCGGATACCTATTTAATCGCTTGTCCAACTAGGAAGAGCTTAAGCCAAAGCATAGCTAAAACTTGGCTGTCAGTATCAAAACTACAAGTACACCTCATTTTGAGGTAGTCGCAATTTTCTAACAAATTTGATTTATTCAAGAGATCATTTCCCAGCTTGACAATTCAAGGAACATCATGAGATTGGTGGTGTATAGACTTATGCACAAGTCTACCGGATATGCAGACTAATACCTTCCGCCAATAGCATCGAGCGCATAGTGAAACACCTCATGAAAGTACACTACCTACGTAGAGGACGTCCAGCGAGTACAAAACACAAGACTTTATCTACTGCATGAACAAAGGAACAACTCGTGGTGTGATAAGCATAATCAGTGCACATCACCCAATAACAGCCAAAACCACTTCGTGCGTTGATTTGAAGCAAAATATCTCCGTAATATACACAAATTTACAATAGTAGAAGCATATTCCAATACAACATAGCCTAAACCTATACACACACACATATATATATAGATACATACACATATGAACATACAAACACACACATACACACAAACATACATAGTATATATATAGATATATAAATATAGAAATATATACATGTATACATAAATAAATGTATACATACATCCATATATAGAAATATACATACATACATACATACATGTCTATATATATACATACAACTACAATAATATATAGAAGCTTATAAATAAAATATATACATAGATATTTAAACAAATATAAACTTTAATGTACAATATTCATTGTACAATGTATAAGTACAATAAATTTTTGCATAAATATAAATATAGGTCAATATATATATATATATATATCTAAAATATATATTTATATATATACTGTGTATATCTATATCTATACTTGTATAAATTTATAATGAATATAAATATAATACACACACACACACACATATATATATATATAATATATATATATGCGCACACACACACAGATATATATATACATACAC